TATGTATGTATGTATGTATGTATGTATGTATGTATGTACGTATGTATGTATGTACGTATGTATGTATGTACGTATGTATGTACAAATTGTACAAAGTAGGTAAAATAAGATTGAAATACAGTCTCACTAAACAGAGAATGTAGGTCATACACTGATGCAAAAAACACAATTCTGCTCAAAGTGCAATCTATTTTTAAATGTTTATTTTTGAAGCTCTATGCTTCAGGCCTCAGAATGTTGGAATAAATCACAGCATTGTACTCAGTATGTTCAGAATTTTAAAACAGTTTCCTAAAATGTATTTCATTTGCTTTGTTCCAAGCCCAGAGCTGTCCATTCAAAATCAGCTGCTGCCCATCCATTCATGAACAATGCAGAGGAATGACAAGTCTCAAATGGTGAGACTCGTAACGTGGGTTGTACTGACCTCAAGTGGCTCAAAAAGAAAGCTGCTAAAACACAACAAACAATGGGCCATTGTGCAGAAAGCTGTGTCGGGCTCACAATAAGGTAAGCTGATGAAGTGCAGCGGCGAGAACGAGACAAGACAATGAGCCCAGTGTTGCTCTGATGAATATCCCAAAGGCTACTTTGTATTTGGGGAAATAATGAAGTGTACACAGTGATTCAAAGGTTTTTCTTTTTTTTTTTTCTGAATAGCATTATTTAACCATTTTTAAAGCATGAACATTTTAAAACATGACAGAATATTTTAGTACAAAATGAACATGTGAAGGATAGAGATCAGAGCTAATCTGCTGCATAAACATTGCACTAGAATAAAACATCCCACAACTATTGTATTTAGCTTTTATTTTTTTTTTTAGGTTTTGACTATGTAGCTGTGTTTGTCTTCAACTAGAAATGATCTCAGTTTAAAACTCTGGCATAAAAGACAATAGGTGATATGTATTTGTTAATGTTTGTATGTTTATCACAGAATGAGCMCTGTAATTTTTCATTGGAATGAAAACGATGCATCTGAGTAGCCTAACAGGTCAGTGTTCCAGAGGGCAATAATACTGTATACCATGGTAATGCAACGTCTATCTGAAATATAATTATCTGCTTTTATAATTAGTTTAGTCTGCAAGGAGCGTGACTGAAACTGTAACTAAAACTGCAAATGTGAACCTTGTTAATATGCAGATGAATGACCTGAGGGAAAAACAGGAGCAACACGATGACTTGTGAGTCAGGAAAAGCTGCAGATTAAGAGTTTTATCACTAAGCAGTTTATCTGGGTAATACAAATCCTGCCTCCTTAGACTAAAACCCCCTTTTTAAACAATATTTTGGACCTGCAGAACATACTAGAACATGACTTTATTTGACTTGGGTGCCACATTATGACTCTAATCAGAACAAATAAAAATAAATTACCTTCACCGTCGACATCCACTTTAAATGACTCGATAAAACAGTTCTGTGGTAATCGAATACATCTTTTTCCCGCCTTTCACCGGGTATGAAAACGTTTAATCATATCACTACAGATGGGGATGTTTCAGATTCATTGAGCTTCCACTTCTCTCCAGGCGTCTGTCAAGAAACGTTCAGCTGAGCTTGTGAACATTTCAAAATTAGGGTCAACGCTCCACGTTGGAAGCACTCACATTCCTCCTGTTCCATCCATGTGAAAGGAAGAAATATTGCTGATAAAAACAGAAAATAAAGTTTTCATTTTTGTCAATATCAAGAGTGTCACTCAGGATATTCAGACAGAGCCGGCTCTTGGCATAGGCGAACTTGGCGGTCGCCTAGATCGCCATCTGCTGGAGGGGGCACCGAACTGCAGAAGAAAAAAAAGTAATTACCGTATTTTTCGGACTATAAGCCGCACCCGCCATTTAAAAAAAACGCACGAACATCAACATATAAGCCGCACTGGACTATAAGCTGCACCCCCCCACCCCCCATCAGTAAAAACAAAAACAAAACAGTACACCCAAAATTGTGGTCAAAAAAGTGAATTCAACATCACATTTATTTTTAAGAAAAAGGTTGGCAAGTTCACCGGTATATAATAATAATAATAATAACAACAACAACAACAACAACAATAATAATAATAAACTCTCGGAAAAAAGGCGAGAGGTCTGGATTTAAAAC